GTAGTATAATTTGGATAATTTTCCTCTTTGAATTATGTGTGGACTCAGACAAATATATGCAACTGAACAAGAGTTAAAACCCAAATTAATATTGTATCAAAATCAGGTCATCTTTGAATGATTTAATATTCAAATTTGAGCATTTGAGTGTCTCTGTTGTTTCAATGAGAAGCTAATAGTACTGAATGCAACATATTATCTAGTATTGCTTCAGTATTATGTATCAGAAATTAACATTTTACTACAACCAACAAACATTTCTAAGTTTATTGAGTTTACAAACTACTAATATACAGAGATAAAAGAACTAGGTCTGACACATCTCAGAGAGCTCACAAGAATGCTCTAATTTGAGTTACATTCAAAGAAGCCCAAGGTTGTATGAGACATATTCAGGCACTTGATAAAAGACATGTGGTTTGAAAAGACACATGTAATTCATGTCTTTGATGTTGCTGCCAAGGTTCTCATCCCAGTTCAGCCACTAATTAGCAAGTAACCGGGGAGAAATCACTTAGCCTCTCTAAGTGGATATGGAAATGGAAGATCCTAACCAATGCCCTTACAACTGTAACATTCTCTGATTCTCTTCTTGGTTTCCTACTCCTTCACTTATTGGCCAGGAAAATCAAGAGTCAAACCTATAAAGAGGTCATGTATAATAAATAAAAGCATAAGATTTGGTGTCCAGACTTGGGTCCAACACTGAGCTCAATTTACCAGCTGTGTGACCAGCCAACGCTTTCAGAATCAAGGTTCCTTATACATAAAATGAGGAAAACAGAATTAGCTCCCTTACAAGATTGCTGTGGGGATCGAATGATGTAATGGAAGTGGAAGTATTTTGTAATGCACCATAAAAAATGTTAGTCATTAGATTTAGAGGTTTTTAAAAAAGACTTCTTGTCTTTCACTAGGAAATAAAATTCTTTCGAACAGGCAATACTTCCTGTCTAAGACTCATTTAGATGCTTGATTATGGGGAGAAAAGGTCATATTCCTAAGCAAGTAAAAGCCTATCTAAATCTCCAGAAAGTTTGAATAATTTCCTAAGTACATTTTTATTGAAACCTCTCATTTAATATGTGAAGACTTCATGTAGAAAAGTCATTCTGCAAAATAAAATCTTTGTAGAAAGTAATGGAATCAGGTTCAAGGCTTCCTGGCTAGGTTTTCTCAAGAGACATTTAAAAATTATATTCTATAGGGCACTACATTAAAAAAAAATTTAATAGCTAGACAGGTGAGCAAAGGGGGTGTGTGAGACACGAAACACAGAGGAGTCAGAAGTTTCAAACATTTTTTGAAAAAATCTGTATCTCTCAGTGTTCAGCAGACAGAAAAGAAAGTCGACTGCAGTAGAAACAATGATCCTTCCCAACTCTGATGGAGCCATTCTTCGAGGCATTAAAAAAGTCCCTTAGAGTCAGAATACTTGTTTAGTTTAACATACTGGCTTTCTACTCTTCATCAAAGAAGTATTTATTATTTGAGATAAGGTAGTCATTTTTTTAACATTAGAAGACAGCCAAAACAAATGGAAGGAAGAATATGAAAATCTTTTGAAATATACAAAGTACTATACAAATGAAGAGCATTTACCATTGTTAAAATTATTACAGAGGTTCATTTTATGTATCTTCTTTATTAACCTATACATTATAATCTAATTTATAATGCCTTAGTTGATAAGATTAATAAAAGCTACAAAATGAAGGGGAAAGAAAAAATACCTTTGAGTCATTCTCGATTTAATGCTACAAAAAGCATTTCCAGCCAGAGAAAAAACTATACAATTTTTTTGGGGGGGGGCAAAAAGATATGGTGCTAAAACACGGTGTTTCTAAGGAAGAACAGGGATATACTAACTCATTATTCATTCCTGTTCTTTTCTTTTTGTGTATGTGGCACAATGTTATATCTCAGTAAGAATCTAACATTATGAAAATGCAGTGTGACACCTAAAATACTTCCTGGAGGACCCATAAGACTCACCAAAGAAATACAAAAGGAGGCACATTAAAATATCCAAACACTGCATTTTAAGAGAAGAGAAAGTTCAATATTAAATCCAAACCTGCCGCCATCAACACCCCTCCTCTCACCTTCCGCTACCTATCCTCTCGCTTTACCATAACCCAGCATCCGCTTCTGACTTCTGAATCTGTGTAGATAAGCCCAACATTTTTAGCTAAGAATCTTGGTAGATGCATTACATATGATACACTTTTTACATATGATGCACTTTTAAAAATCTCTGTATGATTGCAAGAGGAAGAGAAAATGGGAAGATACCCATGGTTCTTTCCACACTGCTTTATTCCTTGTTTTAAATACATAGACTACATAAGGCAAATGTTAAATTATGAGATGCTATGATGTTACTCATATATACACACACAGTATAGATATGGGATTGAGATAAGATATTAATATTAATAATATACCCATTCCAGGCACTCACGAATATGACCCAAATTGCCCTTGCCTAAATTCTCACTTTGGGAAGCAAAAAAGGATTTGTCAGAAAAGGAGAATAGCTTTGGATTCAAAGATCCTTAATTGAAATCACAGTTCTGCCACTCGCCAGCTGGGTGCCTTGCCTACATAATTTAACCTGAGCCTCAGTTTCCTCATCTGTAAAATGAGGAAAATGACACCAACCTTGTACAGTTCTTGTGAGAATCAGAGATAATGCAGATAAAGTACCTGTCAGGTGGGGATTTCTCAAGACATGGTAAGAATGACTATGCTCCCTTCTAGGTAGAGAAAACAACGTTTCGAAACGTTTAAGAAGCATACAAAATATCTTTGCTCAGAGCAAAGGCAATGCCTTAACCTACTCTGTACCTTTCTGAATTTAGCACACTAGGGGAAGCACCTAGTAAATACTCAATTAGTGTTTTCTGAATTAAGTGTACATGTGTATTCTTTGGGTCAGGATGCATAAATATCTATCTATTTCTGCAATGAGTATATGACAAGGTTCATGTTTATGTTTCAGAATGACAACGTAGTTAGTAAAAATTCTTGAGGACCGCCTGCGTGCAAAATACTGAATATGTGAATGTTTTGTGCATCTCTATCTATATCATTTCAGACATGCATAAACATGCCTCTCTTGTTTGCACGTTATGCCCGAGTGTGAAAACGTACCTTTGAGTGTTTCTGTGTATGCAGAACTGCGTGACAGTTTCCCAGAAAGGAACAGTAAGTGCTTGTGTGTGACTGAGGAGCAGTCTACGTGAGTGTGCAAACAGGCATCTGTACATGCACTAGTTGGTCCCTACGTTAGCACGTGTGCCCAGGCGCATGAAAGCGGCTCCATGCAGGGTCTGTCTGCGCCCCCAGGACTGTGTCAGGTGGGAGTGGCCTGGGTGTCCGTCGGTCGGTCACATCCCTGATAGCACTGCGAGGGTGTCTGCGTGGCTGCGGGGGCGCCTCGGTCACTGTGTGCCGGATTCCGCGCCGCCTCAGCGCCAGCCGCCGAGTCCCTCGTCCCGGCCTGCCCCTCACGTGCCGCCCCACCCGGCCCCAGAGGCCCCGCTGCGCCGGCGCCCTGGCTGCTCTGGCTCGTACCCCTTGTTGCTGCTTCCGGACGGGGGGCTTCACCCTCGCGAATATCTGGATCGTCTGCTTCACCATCTCCTCCCTGGCTCTGCACTGACACTTGACCTCTCTCAGGCCTAGGCTCCCAAAACTTCTGAACTCCTGCCACCTCCGGCGACCCGCAGCCTTAGCAACAGTAACTAGGGACGCTACCCAAGGAGCACCGCGGCACCCGAGACCCCGCCTCCCCTCCCTAATTGGTCACGGGCTAAGGGGGCGGCCCCAAGGGAGCGGGTGAGGGGCGGGGTTGGGGCGGGGTTGCGGCGAGACCGAGGCGGGACCGAGAGGGGAGCGCTACGCATGCGCGTGAGCAAAGTCCTGGGCTCTGGGTTTAGAGCCGCATCCGGCCTGGAAGGTGGCTAAAGGGGTGGCAACCACCAAGCCTTGCTCCCTTCCTTCACGCATCTTTCTCTGTGTGCTTACCTTTCTTTTTAAGCACTGAAGTCATTCTGCCTTTGATTCTCTATTCATTAAAGAAATGGCACTTGGTCTGTGATACGCAGTATCCTGGCTGGGGATTCTGAGCTGAGCAAAACTGCCCCTGCCGTTTGGAGATCATGGTCTGATGAAGGAGACAGATTTTCAACAGGAAATCATAACGGAGGGATAAGAGCTATGCTATGGCCAGAGTAGACGTGGGGTTCTGTCTAGCTGTGTTTTGGAAGAGGCGAGGATGGGGACTGTTTCCCATACCATGGTCGTGTCAAGAAAGGACGGGCTCCTTAAATACTGTTAGCACATGAAAAGATAGTCAACATTACCCACCAGGGAAATATAAATTAAAACCACAATGATATGCCACTGTACACCTATCAGAATGACTAAAATAAAAAATAGTGACAACACTAGAGCCGACAAGGATGTGGAGAAATGGTGGGAATGTGTAATGTAAAACATACACTGTGTAATGGTACAGCGGCTGTGGAAAACGCTTTGGCACTTTTGGCATTTATCCCAGAGGAATAGGATTTGGCAATCGCAGTCCTGGGCATTTATCCCAGAGAAATGAAAACTTGTGTTCACACACACAAAAAGCCTGTACATAAGTGTTTATAGTACCTTTATCTGTAATAGCCCCAAACTGGAAACAACCCAGATGTCTTTTGGCCAACGAATGGTTAAACAAACTGTGAAATACTACTCAGCAATAAAAAAGAAAGAACTATTGATATATGTAAGAATTTGGAGGAATTTCTAGAGAATTATATTATGTGAAAGAAGCCAGACCCAAAAGTTAAATACTGTATGATTCAATTTATGTAATATTCTTGAAATGACAAAATTATAGAGATGGAGAGAAGATTAGTGGTTGCCAGGGAGGTGTAGAGGGTATGGTTATAAAAGAAATCCTTGAGGGGGGCTGTTCTGTATCTTGACTTTGGTGTGGTCACAGAAATCTACACATATGACAGTACTGCAAAGAACAAAATAAACATACATGCAAACACACACAAATCAATGCATGTAAAACTGGCAAAAATCAAATAGGATTGACAGACTGCAACAATGCCAATTGTCTGATTGTGGTATTGTGCTAGAGCTATGCAAGATGTATTATCACTGGGGAAAACTGGGGGAGGGGTATACAAGTCCTTTCTTTCTTTATTTTTTTTTACAACTGCATGTGAATCTATAATTACTTCAAAGTAAAGGTTTGTTAAAAGGCACTCTAAAGAAAATAAAAAGACAGACAACAGACTGGGAGAAAATTTTTGCAAAACACATATCTGATAAAGGTCTTGCATCCAGAATATGTATACAAACTCTTAAAAACCAATAGAAAAGCAAACATTCCGTTTGGAAAAAAAGGTCAGGGGAAGTCCTAAAGATTTGAACAAACACTTCACCAAAGAGGACATAAGGATGGCAAATAAGCATACAAAAAATATGCTCAATATCATTAATCACTAATGATATGCAAATGAAAATCACAATGAGATACCACTACTCACCTCTTAGAATGGCCAAAAATAAGAAAATAAAACTGACAATGCCAAGTGCTGACATGGATCAGACCATCTGGAACTCTCAAACGTCACTGGTAAGGAAGCATGATGGACCAGCCACTTTGAAAAACAGTTTTGTAGTTTATCATCAAGTTATACATGTTTACCATGTGACCCACCAATCCCACTCCAAGGTATTTACCCAAGTGAAATGAAAACTACGTTCACACAGAAACCTAAACATGAATGTTTATAGTGGTTTTATTCACAATTGCCAAAAACTGGAAACAAAGTAAATGTTCCTTAACAAGCAAATAGATAAACAAACTGGTACATCCATACAATAAAAAGGAATGAATTACAGATGCCTACAATGGCATCGTTAAATCTCCAATGTATTATACTGAGTGAAAGATGCCAAATTCAAAGGTTACACACTTTATAATTCCATATATATGACATTCCGGACAAAGAAAAACTATTGAAATAGAAAACAGATCAGTAGTTTCCAGGGGCTGGGGGGAGGAAAAGGGGTTGACAGCAAATGAGCATGAGAGAGTTTTTTGGGGAGGTGATGGAACTGTTTCATATTTTAATTGTGGTTGTGGTTATACACTATATGCATTTTGTCAAAACTCATAGAACTATCTATACATAATAAGAAAAACAAACAAAAAAGAATGGGGTATGAACAGGTGCAGCAATGTCAGAGATGAAGAAGAGGAGAGGAAAGTATTTGTTAAAAAGACTTCAGGGGCTTTTTCACCTAGTGAAGAAGACATGACTCAAGATTGGGCACTTGGGTGTATGGTGCAGGTATTCACCTGGACAGGTAAAATAACTGAGAATGAGGAAGGGAGGAAATGAGGAGTTGGGGTCAGGCTATATTTAAAGTGCCTGTGGGACTTCAGCAGGCAGTTGGATAGGGTTTAAGAGAAAGCTGTGGCTGAAAATGTGGATTTGAGAGTCATCAAGGAGTTTTTTTCTAGAAAGTGACCAAGTCATTCAAGAAGATTGAAGCTGATGTCCTAACATTGCTGATTGGAGGTGGAAGAGGGGCTGCAAAAGAGGCCGAGGGGAGCAGCAAGGGAGGCTGCAAAAGAGGTCTGAGGGAGAAAAGGGAGTGTCATGTCATGAAAAGCAAGGGAAGACAACATTTTGGGAAGAAGAAAGTATTCAACAGTGCTGGATGCTAAAGAGGATGCACTGAAAAATGCCCACTCAGTTTAGAAACTAGCAGCTCCTTAGTAATTTAGACAGTGGTTTCAGTGGAGGGTGGGATCAGAAGTCAGGTTCCAGGAGGCTGAGAAGTAAATGGGAAATTAGGAAGAAGAAGTAGCCAAGATAGGCTTTTTTTTTTTTTTTTGCAGAAGCTTGGTTGTAAAAGGTTGTGAAAAGCAAAATACAGGCGAAAGCCAGAGGAACATAGGGTAAGGAAGGGTCTTTTGTTCATATCTAAGGGGATATATCTAATAAATAAGGGGAGGTTGAAGGTATAGGGAAGAAAGAAGATAATGGATGTTTGCCCCAGATGAAAAATTGGCATTTTCCAAGAGGCTGCAATGGAAGGTATAGAGGCAAGGGAGTCAAGGGTATTTGCAAAGATCATTTTAAGTGTTGAATCATGACATCTAGGCTTGTTAAAGACGCTAGTGACCTTTGATAGGAGTGTTGTGGAAGGTGGGGAGGAAATATATGGGTCCAGAGTATGAGAACTTTATACTTTCTGTCTCAAACTCTGGGTCATGTGATCAAATGCTTTGATGGGGAGGAAGTGTGGGTTCAAATCCTTTGTCTGTCATTCCGAAGGGTGTGACCTTGGGCAAGTAATTTATGTTTTTGAGTCTCACTTGCCCCATCCAATAAGTGGGTATAGATAATAACAATAGCCACCTCATGGAGTTATCAATGGAGATTAAATATGGGCATGCATGTCAAAATGTTAACATGGTATATAATGAACAGATTATGCTCACACCCAAAGGGTTCTGACCTCTGGATTGGATTCCTTTGATTGTAAACACATCCTAAAGAGCAGAAACTATGGCATAAATGTATGTATAAGACATATCAGGGACTGTAAGCTCAAATATCTGTTGGGGCCAGACCAATGACATAAATACATCAGGCAGACAGACGTATGACAATAGCGTGGTGAACTGGAGACTAGTGCCCCAACTAAAAATGTTCACATTCAAAATGGTTAAATCATGATGCTGCCTAAAGAAAGCACATTTGTGGGCCCCCGGTTCAAACCTCGGTTTCTGTTCCTGGTATAACCCTTCTCAATAACTCCCAGGCCCTCTGCCACTGACAGGTTTACCTAAATCTCAAACAGATGGCTGTAATGGGTACAAAGTAGGTTTTGAGATTAAATCTCTGAGTTACGGCAACTTTCTCACAACTGGATTTATATTCAGTATTATTATTTGTACCTTATCTACTTGTTTAAATGTGGGAAGTAAGATGCTTTTCAACTGTTTAAAAGATTCTTGAGCTTTACAGCTGCCAACAGAACAGATAATTGCACCAGGCAAATTAGCCAGGGTTTATAAGCCCAAATCTGAAAGAAATTAAGCTGTGCCTGAAATGAATTAGTCTATAGGCAAGTCAGTTTTGTTTGCTTGTATGTTTTTTTTTTTTAAGAAAAATTGAAACTATGCTCCAGTACTAGTTTTCAAATACCTCTTTAGCTGTTGGTGCTACAACTGTAAAATGCATCATTTTGTTTTATAAGTCTAAAGAGGGACCAGTAAAAATTTTATGAGCAGTAATTTTGATATAGAATATGTATGTAAATTACCTAATTGCAGTAAACTTCCCTCTCCCCTATTTTATTCATGGCTTTGGGGGATTTATGTTTGTTTATTCAAAAATCCTTCATGGTCACAGGGTGACCCCCCCACCTCCCATTATCGGCTGAAGAAGCATGTTCAGAAAAGTGCTAGAGGCTTCACCAACAGGAAAGAAAACATTTGACTGAGGTCTTCTCTTAGTAACTTCCTCTAAGAAACAAAGGCCAGTAATCAGAATTAGTAATTGACAATATTAATAGGACAGAAATCAGTGTAAATTGTTCCTTTCTATTTGAGGACATTGGATAGGACTTCAGGTGCTGCATGATTCCTGAGTGTTCCTAACTGAGGAGTTTGTGGAAAGGAATTGTAAGATGAGAAAGGAAAA